TCAATGTTTCTATTCCCCTCCTTTCCTCTCTCTCTAAAAATCAATAAAAACATATTTTTTTTAAATTGTAGCAATGATTTCACTATCTGTAGATTTAGATGAATGTTATGTGAGTCTTGTGCTTACCAGTTAGATCACTGTGAAATTTTTTTATTTTTTTTTTTATTCTTAGGGCAGGGAAAAAGAAATGACCCAGATGGAGTTGAGTGTGAGCAGCCGTCTTTGGTCTATCAGAGTCTCCTAGCTGGTAAATCTGATAGAACCCTTACCTTATGGGGCTCCAAGCCATTTGCTGCCACACTGTGCACATTCTGCCACTGCCCCTTCCCAGTTTTCTGAATTCCTTCTGTAGGAGGAAACTGGTTGCTATTGATAGTGCTTTCCCTTACCCCTCCTCCTGTGAAGGGGGATGAAAAGAAAAAAATAGCCCTTCTACAAAGTTTTGGAAGAAACTTTGGAGAAGAAAATTGAGTATGTATCTAGAATTGTTAGGGACTGAGATACATAGAATTTCCTGATATTTTCCTTTCAAATGAAATTAAGATTACATTGCAGCAATTTGTTTCTTGATTCAGAAGGTATTTATAGGGTTTTGTATGAATCTGCAGGCCAACATTTTAAACCTGTTGTCCTGATCTTGGGAAACTAGCCTTTTCAAGCTCAAATTTTAGAGAAGTGGAAGTTTTTATTGATTATACTTATTTAAATTTGAGGTTTCCTTCAGTTCCCAATCTTTGTGACTGCTAGTGAATTTCCGGAGTCATAAAGAAGTCTCTCTGAGGATAATGTGCATTCATGAACTCAGGTATCTCTGAGTCCTTCCTGACTTCTGATCTTCTTGCAGGAGGACCTTCCAATGCCATCGCACAAAGAACTGTTATGCACAGACCTCCCTGAGGATTGTCTGAGGAGCAAAGGTATTTATTTCTCTAAAATTGTTTCTTTTCCACTTTTTACACACACTGTTTTAGTTCACAGTTTCCATTTTGCATTGGGGATGTACGGATTATATGCCCTTGCAAAATGGACTTAACTATAAAAGTTCTTGATGTTGCCCATGGATGTACTTGAAGACCCCTAGTATTATGGAACAGTGCCTTATATTTGACAGTAGTTTGCTTCCTACTTTTCCTATAATGATTCTCTCTTGACAGTGTGTTGAACCTTAATTGCTGATGTATAATCTTCTATTTGAATTTATTAAAGGGACCTGCCTGTTTGGAAGGGTTGATGTAGACAGGGGAGAAACCCACCCAGTACAGCTCAGCACTGTGGCAGCTCATCTGTCCGCGTTCTCCCGGGCAGGGAGGGAGAAGGTGTTCACTCCAAGTTATCTTGAGGGTTTTCAAAGCCATTTCCTTTGTTGCCTCATTTTGCTCCTCAAAGCAATGGTTGGACATAGGCATCTGAGGTACTACCTTAGTTTGCTTGCTTGCGTACTTGCTTGCTTGATGAAGGAGCTGAGGCCCAAAAGAGTGCTGAGCCAGGATTCTTCTTTCCCTGCCCCAGGCTCAACATAATCTTTGGTAACTTCAGAGAGAGGACTACATGTATATAGCATATAGTTAAGGTTAATAATATAGAATAATCAGAACTGCAAAAAAGATGAAAGTACAGCAAATATGTTTAATTGTATGACCTTGTTATAATGTCAGATTTGACTCTCTGCTTCTTGGCAGCCTGGACAGGAAAGGAAGTACAAATCAACCTTATGAGGAAAGACACTTGCCCCAATTTATCACTCTGCTTCCTGCTGCTGGACATTTTCTCTGGGCTCAAAGGCTCAGCTGTCCAATATAGATTAAAGCTCTGAAGATGAGAAATGTCGCTTCGTGCATAAGTTTCACCCAGTTCTCAGGGCCTTACAAGGGATACATTTAGTGCCACCATCCCTTCTGCCCACAAGATCTTTTTAGTGGGGCTCCAGTATCGCTGTATTGAGTCTTTGGTGTGTGGCTGTATTTTCACCCACAGCTTAAGCACACATTTACTGTGTGTTAATTTACACTTTCATTTAACAACTGAACTAGCCTTTTAAACAGGAAAACCTTAGTTATTTTCTACGAGGGAATCTACCTTCTCAGACTTACCCGGTTACTCTCTCCTAAAGTGCTCATCCACATTGAGCCATGGGTAAGATGAGCTCTTCTGAAAAGTATCCTCAGATAAACTACTTGTGGCACTTTTCCCCCTGCCCTAATACCATTCCTCATTAATGACTAAACTGGTAAAATGAATTCTTTTCCTCCCCCAAAGCCACTTGCAGGGTTCTCAGTTTGAGATGGGGGTTTTACTAGAGTTTTTAGCAGCAATGACCTAGTGCCTGACTATGATATGTTCTTCCATTCACTCCTCCAAGAACCTTCCAAGGTGTTCCTGCATTATATATGAGGAAATAAGTTTTGCTGTACAGTGTCCCTGCCAGTCATAGCAAGGCAGAAAGGAGGTTCTATGAAGGCAGGTCTGTGGAAGAATTGAGCCCTTGGGAGCACACAAGCAGGACACATGGCCACCATGAATCTGAATTAAACAGATGCACATGCTCTACTGCAGTATAACCAGCATTTCAGCTTGCTTTGCCAAGGTCAAGATCAAGCATCTGCCTACCAGCTTATCATTTACTAATGAAATGAGAAGTAAATCGTGTTTCTTAGACATATAGTTGTATACTCTCTAGGGACCCCAGTTGCCAAAATTTTCACTCTGCCCCAGAGTATAGCTGCTAGTCCTGAGCATATTAAAGTTTTCCTAATGAAAATCTAATATGCCCTTGCTACCTTTAAGTGTCTGCATTGTTGAGCACTGTACAAATTACTTTACTAGTTTCATTTATATTAAGTTTGATTATTCTGAAGGGGCATCTTGAACGTCGGTGTTCTGTGGTAATTTATAAATTTGCTGAGGAATGAATTTGGATTCTTGCACTAAGTTGTTTAGTAAGTGAACCTAGGCTACTACACTCTCCCTTTGGTGCATTGTATTTCCTTCTCTATAAATATGACCCCTTCACAGTACTCCCAAGTTAGCATGATATTCCAGAATTTTGAGGTTCTTTACAGTCCTGTGTCTGCTGTGGCTCATTTAGGTGAAATGAGAACAAGCTTAATCCTTTAAAAGGACTTTTGTGTTAACCAAAATGAGTCTTTCATTGGTAGGATGCTATTTTGTATTTCATTCCTTATTTCATTGCTGCTGGAAAGACCCGAGAGAAGCGGACAGAGGGGAGCAGTGATGGGTATTGTTTGAGGGGCCATTTCACAAAGCAAGTGTGTCTTCCTGTTAGGCACTGATTGGCGTGTCTCCCTTTCTGCTACTTGGAGTTTTACTGTAGCTATTTTACCATGGTTTTCTGTTTAATATTTTACAAAACTGATATTACCAACTATTATTGTGTTTTCAGAGAATTTCTTGTAACTGGGCTTCTTTGGGAAGGTTGTATGTAGAAGAAAGGTGAATGGGCACCAGGAATAAAACCAAAATTAGTCATTGAACCTAGGCTACTACACTCTCCCCTTAGTGCATTGTGGTAATTACTGTGGGACTTAATTCCCACAGTACCAGTCTCCCTTGAGACTTACTTGGGAATTCTGAAATAGGAGGTCACCAGAAATTGGAATAGCATTATGGGAATACATTTTGATGCAAGGTGAAAGCAGTCAAGGAGGGGAAAATTACTTTATGTAATTCTGGGAACTAGATAGTTTAAGTTATTTAAAATAATTAAAAGTTGAAAAAAAATGTTAAAGATCTCTATTTCTGCTCTGCGAATAAATTAAACATCATAGTAGATAGAAGGAACCTATCAATAAAGCCCTTATGCCTTAGATTTTATTGATTTGTTCTTATACATTGGAATGAGTATTTCCTGCTTTGTATTCCCTGTTTATGTCATTATCTTCCTATAATTTATACTTTGGGGGATGAAAAGTTGAAAAATATTCAGTACTATGTAGATCCGTTTAATGGACAACATGGAAGAAGTCTAGACATTTGGGGAACTGATCTGTGTTTTGTTTTTGTTTTTTTACTTAAGTATAACTTACCTACAATAAAATTTACCCTTTTTTGTGTGCATACAGTTCTGTGGGTTTTTACAAACATACAGTTGCGTAACTACCATCACAATCAAGATATAGATTATTTCTGTCAGCCCAGCATTGAACATCACTGACTCCTTTTATATAGATAGTCCCTCTTGCCAACTCCAGCCCCTATAGAAACCAGTGATCTGTTTTCTGTCCCTGACTGCGAATCAAACCCCGATCACCTGGATCCCAGGTCCACGCTCAACGGCTGAGCCACGCCCGGGCGGGCTATTTTTAAATTAGGTTTTTTTTGGTCTTTTTTCTTGTTGAGTTGTAAGGATTCTTTATATATTCTAAATATAGATCCTTTATCAAATAGGTGATTAGCATATATATTCTCCCAGTCAGTGGGTTGTCTTTTCACTTCTTGATGTTGTCCTTTAAAGCACAAAAGATTTTAATTTTTGTTTGTTGTTAAATATTTTTTATTAATTTTTTGAGAGAGAGCAAAACATGCATGTGGGAGCGGAATATCAATCAGCTGCCTCCTGCACCCCCCTGACTGGGGACCGAACCCACAACCCAGGCAACTGCCCTGACCAGGAATCAACCAGCAACCTTGTGGTGCATGGGACGATGCTCGACCAACTGAGCCACAATGGCCAGGGCCAAAAGGTTTTAGGTTTTTTTTAATTTATCTTTCTTGTTGAAAGTATTACAGATATCTTCTTTTCCCCCCCCATTGATCCCCTCCACCCTGAATCTGCCCTCCTCACCTTCCCCCGGGTCTTCACCACACTGTCTGTGTCCATGGGTTATCCATATATGCATATAAGTTCTCTGACTAATCTCTCCCCACCCAGTTCCCCGCCCCTGCCTTCCTGCTGAGATTCATCAGTCGGTTCCATGCTTCTATGTCTCTGGATCTGTTTTGTTCCTCAGTCTATTTTGTTTATTAGATTCCACATATGAGTGACATCATATAAAACTGAATCAGGAAGAATCAGAAAACCTAATGAAGTCCAGCTTATCAGTTTTCTTTTTTCTCACTTGTACTTTTAGTATCTTAGCTAAGAAATAATTACCTAACCCAAGGTTGTGAAGGTTTACTCTTGTGTTTTCTTCTAAGAGTTGTTATTTCAGCTCTTACATTTGGGTTTTCGTATGACGTGAGCTAGGGACTGAATTTTTTCTTTCTAATGTGGATATCCAGCTGTCTCAGCACCATTTGTTGAAAAGTATCCCTCTTGGTTCCTTTGTCAAAGGGACTATAAATGTTAGTTATTTCTGGAGTCTCAGTTCTCCTCCTTTCATCTTATGTCTATCCTGTGCCAGTGCTACACTGTCTTGATTATTGTAGCTTTGTAATGTTTTGGAACCAGGAACTATGAGTCTGCCACTTTTGTTCTTTTTCAAGATTCTTTTGGTTATTATGTGTCCCTTGCATTCTCATGAGTTTTAGGATCAGTTTGTCAATTTCTGCAAACATAAGCACTTTTTAAATGTTATTATAAAACTACAAGTCTAGGATCTTCAGCTGAGGTCATGAAACTCCTGCGATTCTGAAATGGGCCCATACTTCACGGGATACGTTTCACCCTCCAGTATACCTCGTACTTTAAGATGTGTGTGTCACATTTTTTTTATCCATTTATATACTTAGGTTGTTTCCATGTCTTGCCCACTGTAATTAATGCTTAACAACTTCCCTAATCTTGTAATTCTTCATTTAGCCAAATCTATTATTTACCTGCCATGTGTCAAGGTCAGTGTCAGGTACTGAATCCATGACAATCATTAGCATCAGGTTTCTTCCCTCAAGTAGCTCCAGTGTTATGGAGGTGATATATTAAACAAATAGTTGAGAAACAGTATTATAGAGGTTTTTGATAGAGATGTTGTGCAAGGGAGTGGGGATCCAAGGAGTGGCTAACACTAACCGAGCATGGGCTCTGTCTGACACTTCTAATAGCTTTATATATGTTAACTCATCTAATCTTTACTAGTCCTGTGACATAAGTACCATCTTTCTCCACAGCCTTTTGAAAGCTTTCTATAAACATGAAATTGTCCCCAAACTCTCCTTTAAAGTTCAAAAGTGGGCAGAGTATCATTTTGCTTTCCAGCTGTACACAAAGCATCTCCCCACCCAATCTGCCACACCACCTGGGAGATGGCTGCCCCGTGTCCTCCCCAAGACTCTTGACTAAGTGAAGAAGGCGTTCTTTCAGCAGGTAGGGGCTTTGAGGGAGAGTTTGCCTTGATTGTCTTGCGCAGTAAACAGTTTGGAGATGGATGAAGAGTTTTAGCATTTACCTGATCAGATGCAATGTGGAATATAGGTAGGGTGGTGCAGAACAGAGTAGAAAGGCCCAGAATATGCATGAATGATTTGATGAACGCTATAGCATTCAGTGGAGAGGTCTAATAAACCTGTTTGAAGTTCATGCTTAGAAAGTCATACATAGGGTCTGCTGTGATAGGGAAAGGAGACTAGTTTCAAAAAGCTATATACGCTGTAGGGCCTTAGGATTTCAAGGCTGCCTTTTGTCAGTGATTGGTATCTGTACAAATTTACCGAATATTTGCTGACTCCAAATGTTTTTAACACTGTGCCCTCGCCTGCTTATTAAGTGTATCATTTTAACTATTCTCAGGTCCAGTAGAATAAGAATCAGAGAAAGCAGAGCAAAGGAAAGGCACCTTTCCTTAAAGTGGCAGGCACTGTACCACGTGGTGTTTTATATGTGTTATTTAGTATAGTCTTCAAAGTAGCGATGAGGTAAGTGTACTTCCCCCTTTTTCAAAGGGGGAGGCTGACTCAGAGAGGTAAGTAATATCGCAGAGCCGGCCTGCTGCTCAGAGTTGCTGCTCTTTCTCTTAAAATGGCTGCTCTCACTACCAATTCATAAATGGACAGGGAAGCCCTAGGAAGACACTATTGATGGCATTTGTTGATTGGACCTAACCGTATTCATTTATTAATCCCACAGATATTTACCGAGTGCTATTATGTACCAGGTTTTATGCTGGACTCTGATGAAGAGGAGAAACCGAGAAAGACATGACCCTTACCCTCATGGAGTTTCCATGCTAGTGGATTAAATCTTTAGATTGATTTACATATTGCCTTATCTGTTAATGCAGATGTCCCGTTATGTACATGCATGCATTTATATATATTCACATGAATATGTATAATTTTAGGTTAACTTTCTAAAAGAGGAGGAGGGAGGAACATTTTTTTGTAGATTAACAAGCCTGGGGGACTTCTTTATACTGCATCCTGTACCTAGGATTTTAGAGAAACTCTGTACAGTAAAACTCCTTTATGAATTGCATTTAGATTCTGCTGAGAAAGGTATTTTGTTTTTTAATGTTTCATAATGGAAATTTTCAAGTTAATTCAAAGGTTGGAGAGCATACTAAACCCCCCATGTACCTATCACTCAGCTTCAATGATTACCAGCTCATGAAGGGAAGCAATTATTCCAGGTAATTGGGTTCAAGACTAATATTCCACTTATAAATTAATCTCTTTTACAAGTAAGGTTTTGTGTATACCTGTTCTTTTTCAAAGAGGTAACTTATCCATGACTTATTTAGTACTTATTCAAGTAATAAGAAGGTAGTCATCTAATAATATAGGCTGTTATATTGTGAGTCTACTTTGTTAATGTTTTAGAATGGTGGCCTTTTAAGATTCTGAATTAGGCACATGTCTCCATGTTGTTGTCATTTGTCCAGCTAAGTAAGTACATGTAAGTAACGCTTAGAGAAAGGTATTTGTTCAGTTACCTGTTTCTGCCACGTACACTTTTGGCCTCTGACATGTTCTACAGAGAACAAAACCAATGGTATAGTGCACTAACTTTGCAATTCTCTTGAGTTGGACATTTTTGTTGTTGCTGTCCATTTCATGATTAAATTCATGAAGGTAGAGCAAATGATTTTTTATGATCACATGCTGATTTGGATTTATTTCTCTTATGCAGAAGGAAATGTACCAATTACAAGTGAAACTCTGCTAAAATCTACCGAAGAAGTACAAGGTATAAAGGTCAATGGGACTAAGATGGATAATATTGAAGGACACAAGAGCAGCAATGTGAGTAAAGGTCTCGCGGCTGGGTGCAACGATCACCCAGAAGTAGACAAAATCATGGCCAGTGATGAGGTTTCAGAAGCCAGCACATCAGTTTCCATAGCGCCTCTAAGCTTTGTGGACCCTGGATTAACAGAAGCAGCTCCTAAAGGAAAAGGGTGTGAAGGGTTAAAAACTTGTTCTTCTTGGTTGTCATTATTACCAGGGAGCAGTGCCATCTGCAAAGTGGACAATGAGAAGGAAGAGGTGTGTAAGTTAAGCCTTGTCTGTGAAGCAGATGACAATCGCCACCAGATTCTTGACCACCATAATGAAAAACACGGTTCTGTACATGGCAGCCCCAAGCCCATGAGAAACATAGTTGCTGTAGAACCCTTAGGAAAAAATTCTGACATTGCATGTTTCAAATCAAGTTTGTCTGATTCAGAAGCCAAAACAACATCCTTAGAAAAATGTAGTTTTGAAGGGGATGGCTTGCTAAACAGATCTGCTGTAAAGACAGAGAATTCCTGTTTTGATGGGCATGATCAAAGCAAGAACTTGGCTTCTGGAGAAGAAAATGAAGAACAGCTTTTGAACCCCAGGGGTGAAAGGGGGGAAGTCTTTCTTGTTAATGCCGGGCAACCAGAAGAGGATGCTAGTGGTTATTGTTCTGGAGGAAAAAAGACTGTTGTCTCCCCAAAAGAAAATATCCACAATAATGATTGCATTCAAGGCAGTATCCATACAGACAGCTCTAGTTCTTTAATGCCCAATTCTTCTAATGAAGCCATGGAAGTGATGTTTAAAAAAGATTTGAAAATCACTTTAGACATGAAAGGTAACTTAACAAACCCCAAGGACCATAGAGAAACTATTACTGATATGAGCCATCCAGGCAGACGCTCTGAAGAAAGCAGTTTTTCCTCCTTGATGCTGATCAAAGAGCCAGAACAGACAACCCCTATCGAATCTGGTGTGTTGAGTGAAAAGATTTACAGTAAAGACCCTAACTACTTAGTCAGCACCCAGAGAAATCTGGAAGGTGATACCCAGTTAAATGAAGCATCATATAGTGACTTTATGATTGAAAAAAAATCCCATGTGAATTTAATGCCAGAGGACCAGATAAGTCCTATAAATGAGGAATCAAAACCCAAGAAAGATACTTCTCAGCTATCAGCATCCCTAGAAATTGATTGCCGACCTGAGGCAGAAAAAGCTGTACAGAACTCACAGGACAGTATTCCACATTTAGATGAACAGAGTGTTGCCTGTGAGATGAATGAATTTCCTTGTACTGATGAACTGGTTCTAAACAAAACAGAAAGTGAATGTGTTTTAAATCAAGTGTCCCTTAATTCTCAAGACTATGCGAAGTTGCCAACTGACAGAGAGACGCCTTTAGCAGTAAGCGAGAATTCCCAACAGAGCCATCACCCTCCATTAGAAGATGGAGCTGGTATGATTGCTGATACTGAAACCATCCCCATGAAGACAAAAATGAGAGACATCTCTCCACCAGGTGACAAAACCTGTGGTGCCTCTTCAAATAATCCCACCTTAAATATCAAACCAGGAAGTCTAGAAAGAAAAAATGAAGTGGCTGATTCTGGAACAAAAGATCTACATTCCAGACTTCTCTCAAGTAAGAAGGAAGCAGCAGTCTTACCTCCAGAGGTCTCTGTCATGGAATGTCACAGTGTTCAATCTCAGGATCTCTCTAGCTGCCATTGTGTAAGGAAAAGTGCACCAGAAGAGAGCACGTGTTCTGCATGCGCTGCTTTTGAGTCTCGCAGAATCATCCTGGAAATTGAAAACTCTTTGACAACCAAGTATGAAAGTGCATTTCAGCACAGCAGTCACCATTCCCCAGGAAGAGAATACTCTGTAGAAAGTAGCACCCACAAAGGGAGTCATACATTGGAGAAAAGTGAACTTAATGGAAGAGAAGCTAAAAGCAGCCTTCGAGGAGGTAAGATCAGAAACAAAAGGACAATAGGTGTGTTAAACAGTAAAGCTTCAAACAAAACCATTCACACCACCAGTCACATCCAACCCAGTGAGGAAGGGCTAGAATTAAAGGAACAGGATATACCCAAAGAGACTGTGTTTTGTAAATATAGCATCTCTGATCGTGCCACACAAGAACTAAACCAATCTGTAAACATTCCAAATCCTGAAAAACTGTTAGAGCAATCTCCTACTGCTAAGTTCTCCAGTTTTAAAAATATGAACCAAGCAGTTAATACTCTTAATCAGAAGACATATGAAGTCTTTGACTGCCAGAGTAACCCAAATAGACCAGATGAGCATAGAAGTGAAGATAAGCCAGGTAAGGGGATACTAGGTAGTGACCAGAGAGAGACCATCACAGAGCCTAACACAGAGGTAAGCCACAACCAAAAAGATCTCCCATTCAGTTCATGCAATAACAATCCATTGTCTGGTGGTAGCCTGAAGAAAGGCTATTTGAAAGGAGGCTTTGAAAGGATTTCTAGTTGTGAAGAGTCCACAGATGGTGTGGTAAACATTGCCTACACAGACTGTAGTAATAAGCCTACAGAAGGCAGGCTGAACATAAAAGTATCTAGCGTACTTGATGGTGGTACACGGCAAGGCGGACTGGCATTAATTGAAACCTCAAGGAGTACCCTGCCTCAGAGAGGAGACTTGAGTGCTGCATTTATAGGAAAGATTGACCAGGATTCGGATTTCCCAGATGCTACTTCCTCTGCACTGGAATCTCTTGAAATAAAAAAATCATGTGAAGAGAAAGTCTGCAGATCATTAAAAGATTGTGAAATGGAAGTGTGTCCAGACTCCTGTGCCAATGAGATAGAATCTGTTGCAGATCATGAACCAAATATAAGAATATTGGATAGTGTAAATGTGTCTTTAAATCACAGTCATCATGAACAGCAAGTTAAAGAAGCATCTCTAAGAGAAACACAAGGAATGATTGAAAGAGCAAGACTAGAAATACATTCTGAGTTTGAGAAGGAAAATACCTTTGGAATTTCCTCAAAAGAGTTGATGTCTACTAAACACCACGATGAGAACTCTGTTCCCCCAGACAGCCTGAAATCCATTGAAATAATGCCTTTGTATCTGTCTTCTCAAGAAAATTCAGAAGCTATTATTAAAAGTGGAGAAACTAACCTGAAAAATCTGTGTAAACCAAAAGATGGTGAAATGCTTTGTGAAAATGTAGAGGACTGCACAGTCCTGCCTGAGATGAAGGAAGGCGCACCAAGGGATGTGAGTGATACCAGTGAAGGAAATAGCCCTGACATCAGTGTGAAAATTTTACCTTTGATGATAGAAACAGAAACTAAGGTGAAAGGAGAAGAAGCCAAAGAACATCAGAGGGGACCACGGGATCACTTAACTGTTGGGGTGGAATCTGAGGAGATGGTGACCAGAGAAGATGGTCATGGTGATTTAATGAGTGAGATTTCTCAGAGGATGCGTGGTGATGCTGAAGAACATCAAAGCCACGGGGATTTGGACTACATGTTGCAGAAGGGAGAGGAATATATACATCAAAAAGAAGCCCATATGATATTGGAACAATGCACATCATCTAATAAGTTGTCAGATGAGGTGCAAAATAAGAACCAACCTAAGGACTGCAAACATGAGTACACCAGGATGAAAGAAATCAGCCCAGCAGGGCTGGCCAAGGGTAACATTACTGCACGGTTTCAGAAGTTGAAAGACCCAAAGGAGGAAAACTTGTGTCATCCATTAAAAAAGGACATTGGGCTGTGCATAGGTCCTTGCCTTCGTGGTGCCCCCCAGAAAGCACAAGACCCCGACTCTGCTAGATGTGAAATGCATGGTGCCTTTGGGAACACCTCACATCAGAGAGCAGTGCTTCCCTTAAAGAAGCAGCCTCATCGGACATGTAAGAAAGTTTCCTGTCAGGAGCAGATCAGCCTGGGTAGAAAAATAAGTAAAATCAGAAATTCTGCCTTTTTAAAGAGTTCCTCTGAAACCATCCCCACAAAAGCACACAGGTTTCTCAGTTCACCTGCTATGTCTGCACCCACACGACTGGAACCGGAAACAGTACCTACCCGGAGCTTAGTTAGCCACATACCAAAGCAGAAGGCTACTCCGTGCCATCTCTCAAGGAGCCTGAGTGTCAGGAAGCCCACCAAAGAATCAGCCTTACTCAACAAGCTATCCATCCTTGCCTCCAAACTGGCCCCTGCTGTGAAGACCCAGAAACTGAGGTATCGGCGGTGTTCCTCTGAACTTCCAGTGGCTAAAAGCTACAAGCGGCTCAGATATAAAAGGCTCCTGGATGGGTTTTCATACAGTACAATGCAGCTGAGTCCATATTTGACAGCTAGTGGATGGGATAAGAGGCCTAACAATAAACCCTTGACACTTTATCCGCTCGAAGCCATCAAAATGAGCTTCATAGATTTGAGCAACAAGATGCCGTTGCTGCTCTTCGGTTCTGAAATCTTCCCAGTGTCCTTTCATGTGAAATCAGGCTCCGAGTGCGTGACTGAGTCCCCAAGGACTTTTCCCGAGCACTGTGCTCCAGCAAGGCTTGCCTTAGGGGAGGCCACCCGGTGCCCTTCTCAACCTCCCAAGTGGACCTTTTCTTTCTTCTTGTCCCACGGTTGCCCTGGGATGGCCACATTCAGGGAAGACACTGGCCTCCATGGTCAGGCACATGCCCAGGCTCCGCCACAGCCTCCAGTTCCTCTCCAAGACTACGGAGGCACCGCCATAGTCCAGACAAGAGCAGGCTTCTCTGTCCTTGGACTTCACACACTCCTAGCACTTTGTTCCCCTGGATGTTACCGAATCTGGACAAAAAAACGGAGCTTCTCCAGATACATGCCTACCATGCAGAGGCTCTTCATGACTCAGTTTACACAGGGCTTGAGAGGGTTAAGGTCTCCAGCCTCCATAGCAGACAAGATCTTCTGTTCTCTGCCCTATTCGGTGGGCCGAGTGCTCTCCGTTTGGAGCCAGCATGGGCCTTCTGCCTGCCCCTTGGAAATCTCTGCTCTTCATTCCACTCACAGCAAGCGACAGCCAACTCTGGGCACCACAAGCAGGTAAACTGTCCCCTGTTCTTTGCAAATGTCCCATGTTTGCTTCCTGCCACTGGGGAGAGGGGAGGGACACTACTGGAAATGCAGGGCTATTTGGAGTCTGTGTCTGCCTTCTGTTTATACCTTGCCAAGTCTCTGCTGAGAAAATGTGGCAGTAATTCTTAAGTACAGACCCCTCTAATTTCCTGCAGAATCTGGGTTTTCTGCAGAATCCTTTATTTTGTACCATTCTTTGTTCTGTCCATTCATTCTGCAAACCATCAAATCTTTTGAATCTCTTTCCACCTCTTGTCCCTACCTTGCAAAGAACAAACACCATTACAAGTTTCTAAGTAATGACAAATAATGGCTTGTAACTATAACTTGTTCACAAAGTATTGTACAGCTAGCACCTAATTCAGAGTTTGTATGTAAAGGATACAGAGAAATACTTTTTTAATAAGTTAATTATGTAGGCATCACCAAATGTAGTTTGTGAACCTTTGCATTTCTTTCTGGAGCAGAGAGGCTTCAAAGATTGGCATTTACATACTATAGCTGTAGAATTTATAGAATTTTAAGTAAACTTGGAAGAGTTGTTGTGGTTTGACCACTAAGAAAATAATTTCACTGGTATCATTTTACTTTCTAATTGAAAATTAGAGAGAGAAAAGAATTTGGGTTGTATCACTAAAGATCTATTTTAGACATAATAGATAAGTCCTGTTTATAGAAGCTTTAAGTATTTTTTATTTTGCCCTTATTATTACTATAGTTTAAAAATTCAACCACCAAAAAGCCTTAAAATTCCAAATAGTCTGGGAGCTTCATGTATGTGGACAGTCTCTTACGCAGAATCATCTGTCATTAGAAAGCTGCTGGTGCATATTGTAAACTTCACCCAGCACCTTAGCAGAAAACTGACTAAATAAAGGGGTTCAGAAAAGTACCCCAAACCCAAATGTGACTGATTGAAATGGAAAGATGAATCCCTATTACGGGCACTTGTCCCATAGTTAATAGAAAACTGTTTGCTTCTTATAATGCAGCCATAGAAATACATTAAAGTGAATCAAATAGTTTTAAATGATGGTGTACTACTTTTATTGTCTAGTTTGTTGGTATGCCCCTGTAATCTCATAATTGCTTTGCACTCTTTGTCTATGAAACACAGCTTTTAATCATGTCACCTTCTTTAAACTGTTCATTCCTGAGGTTACTGTAGAAGGAGGGGTTACTCATTCCACCCGGGGGTGGGTGGGGGTGGCCCTTCAGTGCTTTTTTCTCTACCAGAGCTTTCCCGCCTGACGTGTCTGTTTCCTGGTTTTTCTGTCTCCCTTACTTCCTATATCTGGCATTTTATTTTATGTTTTTAATTTAATTTTACTTTAGTTTTTAAAATTGGATTAAATTTATTATATTTATTTATTTTTTAATTCAAGTGGAAGGTGGAGGGGTGATGTTTGTAGGGACTTTTCTTTTTCATTGGCCTAAAAGTGCCTTCATATTATATGCTCTGGTGTGAGTCTAGGAGTTTTCTGTTTTTTTAAACACGCTTAGAAATGTTAAGCATGATAAATTGGGTAGCCCCGAAAAGCAAGACTTAAATTGATGAAGATTAAATTAATTTGTTTTTATAGCATTTTCTTATTTGAACCTTGTTTTCCAGCACTCTGTCGTATAGGTTGAACAGGCATCTTTATCGCCCTTTTCATAGATGATGAGCCTGAGGCACATGGTGTTTTTTTTGGGTTTTTTTTGTTTGTTTTGTTTGTTTGTTTTACTTTTTTATTGAACTTATTGAGGTGACATTGGTTAATAAAATTATACAGATTTTAGGTATGTGGCTTTTTTCTAACCAGATCACCTACCTGGTAAGTGTTTCAGCTGAGCTAACCTAGAACTGAGGCCTCCCCATTTCTGATTTGGTCAGATCTATCTATCTATCATCTATCTATCTATCTATCTATCTATCTATCTATCTATCTATCTATCTATCTATCTATTTGGCTTTTCTTTCTTTTTATCTAATTCTTGCTCTTCAGGGAATCCTGAGTTGGTGCTAAACAGTCTAAAAGTATGAATTATCTGTGTTTTCTCTAGCCATTGAACAAATTTCTAGGAGGAAATAGATTGTATGGTCATTATACAAAAATGTCTTATTGATTGAAACTTGTTCTGTGTTCTAAATTCAGTAGAAACTGATACAGGTTTTACTTTAAGGGGCACAAAAAGCTCCCCAATATCCTGTATTAATGTATCTTGAAGTGATTATTAATATTGTTTCATCTATAAAAGAAAAAGATTCACAATTAGGGACCAGCCATCCTATTTACAGCTTTCTTCTACATAGTAATGTTTTTTTTGTTTCTTTTTTTAATCCTCACCTGAGGAGAAAGGAAGGGGGAGGGGAGAGAGAGAAAACATTGATGTGAGAAAGAAACATCAATCTGTACATGCCCCAACCCAGGATTAAACCTGCAACCCAGGTACGTGCCCTGGCTGGGAATTGAACTGGCAACTTTTCTGTGCCCAGGACGCCAATCAACCAACTGAGTCGCTCCAGCTGGGCTAAATAGCCATGCTTAATGTGGAACTTGGCTTTCAAGAAAGTAAGGTTTTCTCCATAATTTTGTATAAGTTTATAGAAATTGATATATTTTATTTTAATAGAGTTAATACAGAGCTGAATATAGTATAAGATTTTTATCTGTAAATTTTTTGTTGTTAATCTTCACCTGAAGATCTTCTTCTTCATTGATTTTTCAGAGAGAGTAGGAGGGAGGGGGAGAGAGAGAAACATTCATCAATGTGAGAGAGACACATCTATCTATTGGTTGCCTCCTGTCCACACCCCAGCTGGGGCCTGGGATCGAACCTGCAACCCAGGTTCGTGCCCTTGACTAGGAATCGAACCCACAACCCTTCGGTGCATAGGCAGACACTCTAACCTCTAAGCCATACCAGCCAGGGCTGTAAAAATTTTTTTAATCTTCAATATACCTTTTCAACAACTTGATTAGAAGGTATAAGACTCAAAAATCATTCTTGTTCCCTTCCTTTCTCTTACCATCCTCCATTTATTTCTACCTTCTTTCTATTTAAGTTAGAAAATAATCTTCCTGTAAGCCTGCCTCCATTCCAATGATGGGCACATAAATGTAATTCTCCTAACTGGTAGATTGTCATTTTTCTAAGCGACTGACATTTTTCTTTTTCCTTTCTTTTTAATCCTCACCCAGGGATATTTTTCCCGTTGCTTTTCAGAGAGATTGGAAGGGAGAGAGAGAAGAAAAAAAAACATCAATGTGAGAGAGACACATCGATTGGTTGCCTCCCACATACTCCCTGACCGGGGCTGGGGATCAAGCCTGCAACTAAGGCATGTGCCCTTGGCCAGAATCAAACCAGGGACCCTTCAAGGAATCCACAGGCTGGTGCTCTAACCACTGAGCCAAACCAGCTAGAGCGTGACTGACATTTCTTATCTTCCAGGGGCTGAGTGTGATGTGCTAAGCCTATAGTGACATCAGAACCTTTACTATGTTCCACTGCCCTAACCTATTGCTCTTGTACTTTTGCTTCACTTCAGCCACACCATGTTACCGTATGTGCCTCTTCCAGGCATGGAAGCTACTTCGAACACCAGCGGCAGTCAGATGAGGTAAGCCCCCAATTCCTCCTGGCACTGAAGGCTTGTAGAGTGGGGGGTGGGGTGGTAGCAGGTCTTGATGTGGATCAGGCATGGTGCGAACCTGAGCTCTTGTTCTTCTAAACCAGGTTCAAATGTGTTTTATTATGAGCAGCAACTGAGAATGTGTAATCAGTACCAAGTATGGGTGATGTCACAATCTCATAATGAGCTCGTTGTACCGTAGGTTCCCCTCTCAAGGTATTTCATGGTCATTTAGCCAACTTCAGTGCCTGGATGGGATTGATCCCATCTGCCCACATTTCATTTGTTTAGTTCACTAAGTGTCTTTCCCTTCCAAAAAATCTGTTCCTTTTTACATTTTTCAGTATTCATTACTTTTCATTATTTCATCTCTTCATACCAGTGAAATGGATTGACCACATTCTTGTAAATTTTTACATATGCAGACATAGGCTGTTTCCAGAAGTGACGAGAGAACAGGTTGAAATGTCATTGCTGGTAAAAGGCTTCAACCCTATTCTGGTGGTTAAGTTGAATGTGCCGAGATAGAAAGTGAATCTGTTCCTATTTTCTTCTGCTTTTATCTCTCTGCTAGGCTAGAGCCTCCGTTCCCTGCCTTGGTACCAAAGTCTTGCTTGGTAACAGACTCAGCTGTCAGCAAGCTCCTGCTTTCAGCCTCCGAGTTCGCAGTTCCCGGATTAGACGAACTGGATGGCGTGACAGCAGCACGCCCCCATCCGCAGAGTAGCCCTCCAGAACAGAAAGCGGTGAGTGTGCAGTGCTGGTGGGGCCAGGTGACAGCGGCACTGGAGATGTCCGTCCATGACTCCAGATCACGTGATAAGTACCGATGGGCACCTGACTATCTTTATTTACCACCTTTAGCTTTGGCTGAGTACTGGAGATTTCCAAGACAGGCTGTTTTCTCTTTGGCCACTAAAGGATACCCTGGATCTCTTAATCTACATTGTTTTGTGGATCCTTTTTTCTTGATGACAGAATTTAACAATGGTGAGAGGATTAGACCACAGAGTTGCTTCATTTATTCAAAGAGGATGAGTGGTGAATGATGGTGTTTTCAGTTTTGTAACCTCTGTCTGTAGAACGTACCGTTCTCTTTTAATAATAGAGAGTAGTTGCTGAAAACACTGGTGGCAGGAGTAGGAGGGGAAACTTTGTCATAAACTACTTATTAGAGTCATCTATAAACCAAGGAAGTGATAGGTGAAGAAAAGGGACTTTTGTGTTTAAAATGTCTTACAACTTGACATTCTTTTTAACCCTTAAAAAGGCTGAGCCGGAGAAGAGGCCAAAGAAAGTCTCACAGATTCGCATCCGGAAAACCATTCCTAAGCCAGACCCTAATCTTACCCCCATGGGCCTCCCTCGCCCCAAAAGGTGAGCTCTTTCTCTAATACACATAGTTTCACTCTTTTGGAAAATTGTTTGGCATAAGATAATGACCTTTTAATGATCGTATACTTGAGGTATTATACTTCTAGGATTGATCCAAGAGTATTCATTGGCAATGTGGCCAGAAATTTATGTGCAGGGATTTTTTAATACATTCCTAATCATTTGTATTGGGCTCTCCATGCAAAGTCATGTGCTCTCCCTTTGAGTACATACTCTGTTTGTCCTTCAGTGGTGCTGGGAGGTAAACACTGTTGTCGCCCCCAGGTTTAGGTGAGGGTGCTGAGGTTCAGGGGTTGAGAAACCTGTTAGGCCATTGTGTATAATTTCTAAACCAGGAGATGGGCGGTAAGAGAGATAGAATGGGGAGGGGCAGTTAATTAAGGAGAAGAAAAAGGTAGAAGAAAAAGCAGCTGTAAGTTAAGATAATAGATATAAATTCAGCTGTATCATTCCCAGTAAGTATAAATGAACTAAATTTCATAAAGTTAAAGTATGGCAGCCCGAAAAAGAAGATCCAGTACGCGTTGTTCACATGAGACACATCTAAATCATGCTACAGAAAGGTTGAAAGTAAATGAATGGAAAGGACAGAGTTAGGAAGCTAGTCTTACCTCTTGTAAGAGAGCATGATGAATTAATTTTGTTCTCTTTTCAGGTTAAAGAAAAAGGAGTTCAGTTTAGAAGAAATATATACCAACAAGAATTATAAGTCTCCTCCTGCAAACAGGTAGGTACATGTGAGTAGGAAATAACAGATGGGAAAGGCTTCTGAAACGATCGATGTAAATCTCCAATTCTTTAACCACAGGAAGGGTATGTTCAGTTTTTCCAAAATTGGGGCTTGGAAATTACTAGGATTAATATTTTTAGTTCCCAACACTTGAATTGGGGTCCTCCAGGACAAACATTTACTCTAAGACATTTGTATAAGACTATGTATTGTAGCATTGTTAACTAATAGGAAAGGATTGGAAACAATTTAAAATATCCATTAATAGGATTCTGATTAAATTATGATTCATCCCTGAGTAAAGACAAACACCAAAACAGAGAACACATGCCACGAGTCAGCAAGCTGCAGTCCAGATCCAGCCCGAGTTCAGCTTTCCTTTTCCCTTTTGACTTAATGGCCTGTGAACTAAGAATGATTTCTGTGTTTTTCTGTTTAAAAACAAAAAAGAATATGTAAGAGAAACCTCAGTGGCTCATTAATTTTAAAATGCTTACTATCTGGACCTTTACACGAAAAGGCTGACTTCTGGTAATAATATGCTTATTTATGCATGTCTTACATTGAATGACTTTTGGAAGGATACACAAAAAACTGGTGCTGGTGTTGTCTATTGGCGGTTGGTCTTATTTTTTTCTTTACCCTTTTGTCCAGTTTTAATGTTTTCACTACATGTACATATTCATGTATGTATTCTATATATAATATATATTATAATTTTATATATATAATTTTTTATACAAAAAATGGATGCTGGGAGGGTTTCAAAATGGCAGCAGAGTAGGGGGATCTTGTCTGCAATCCCTCCCAGAATCAAACAGGAAATTATAGCTAAATTGGGGAACATTCACCTTGAAATACTAACTGGAGGCTATCTGAAGAGGAGACTTTTAACCAAGGGCAGCAAAAGCCACATCAAGATGGGTAGGAAGGGCAGAGTCGCAAAAGGGGCCAGCCCTGCTCCCAAGACTGGCAGGCCACCGCTACGGAGGGATATCTCAGCTGGGGTGGTTTCCCCTGAGAGGTGAGAAGCCTAGTCCCCAGACTGGGCTCCCCAGCCCAGAATACTTGGAGCTGGGAACAGGAGCCCACACAGTATCCAGCTGTGAAAGGCTGCGGTTATTGTCTTGACAAGGAGAGGCGGAGCCGCTGGAGTCAAAGCCATCTGTTTAAAGGGCCAGCCTGCAGCCCTGGCCAGCATGGCTCAGTGGTTAGAGCATCAGCCTGTGCACCAGAAGGTTGAGGGTTCAATTCCCAGTCAAGGGCACGTACCTGGGTTGCAGGTTTGATCCCCGGCCCTGGTTGGGGCGCCTGCGGGAGGCAACCAGTTGTCTCTCTCATGATGTTTCTCTCTCCCCACCCCCACTCTCTCTCTAAAAATCAATGAAAAAAATATCCTCATTCCTTGGGTGGGGATTAAGAAAAAAGACATGCCAATAAATCTTTAAAAAAAAAAAAAGACCAACGTGCAAAACTTTTGTTCGCAGACATTTACTCAGGGTGCAGGTGGAGGGAAGGCGGTGAGGACTGGAGGCGCCTAAGGAGAGTCTGGGGTGGCTGGCACTGGGGAGAGGCGTGGGGAGCACTGACCAGGAGCCCGGTGCTAGATCAGCCTCCGATACCACATCAGCCATTTTTCTTGGGAGGAACAGTCCATCCACTCCAAGCGGCATCAGCCTGGGGAAAAGCAACTACCGCCACCCTCTGGCATTCTACTTGCCCAGCCCTCTGGAATCCTCACCCCGTCCTGCATTGTAAGCCCCACTGAGGAGTCAGCAGCGTAGGCTGGGTCTTAGAAGACTGAGCAGTCTCGGGGTTGTCAGTGGCTTGCTTAGGGAAGGGGCCATTCCCCCCACTTCCCATGGAACCTCACGAGAGATCTGTTAGAAACATCCCACCACACCCCATTCTCTGGCAGACCCAATCTCTGGGCTTCATAGGCTCCACCCTCCTGGCTACTAGGGGCTTCACCCTGCTGAGGTCAGGGAATAATCCAGGACCGACTCAGACTGTGGCTTGGGGGTGGGGAAACACATCCACCATCTTCCCTGAAGTCTGAGTGGCACTTCCCTCTCATGGGAAACCCCATAACCCCATCCTCCTGATTCTACCAGAGTCTCTTTCAGAGACTAAGCCTTTTCAGTGTCTAACCCTGGCAGCAGAGGGAGGCAGGCAGAGACAGATCTTGAGGAGCCTTGGGACATTTGCAGATTAAAACTACAATGAGGTATCACCTCACACCTGTCAGAATTCCTGCCGTCAACAAATCAACAAAGGACAAGTGCTGTAAAGGATGTGGAGAAAGGGGACCCTAGTGCACTGCTGGTGGGGATGCAGACTGGTGCAACCACTGTGGAAAACAGTGTGAAGTTTCCTCAAAAAAATTGAAAATGGAGCTGCCTTTTGACCCAGTGATCCCACTTCTGGGACTATATCCTAAGAGTCCCAAATACCAATCAGAATATAGGCACCCCTATGTTTATAGCAACATTATTTACAATAGCTAAGATCTGGAAGCAGCCCAAGTGCCCGTCAGTAGATGAGTGGATAAAAAAGCTGCAGTGCATTTACACCATGGAATACTATGCACCTGTAAAAAATGAGGACCTCTTACCCTTTGTGACAACATGGATGGATCTGGAGATTATTATGCTAAGCAAACTAAGACAGAGAAAGACAAATATCACATGATCTCACTTATATGTGGAATCTAATGAACAAAATAGGTCCAGGGGCATGGGTGCATGAAGAGACTGACATCTCAGAGGGGAGGGAGGTGGGGGGATGGGAAGAGATTAACTAAAGGATATATATGCATACCCCTTAGAAACAGACAAGAGGGTGGTGAAGGCCTGGGGTGGGTGGGGGCTGGGTGAAGGGGAGCAAGTGGGAAAATGGGGGACATCTGTAATATTATCAACAATTTAAAGAAATGGGCAAAGGACTCAAATACACATTTTTCCAAAGAAGACATACAGATGGCCAACAGATCACGAAAAGGTGCTCCACATCACTAATCATCAGGGAAATCAAAACCACAATGTGATGTCATCTCAGAGTTTTTACAATATCTGTTATCAAAAAGACAAGATAACATATACTAGTAAGATATGGAGGAAAGAGAACCCCTTGTACATGGTTGGTGGGAATGTTAATTGGGACAGCCACTATGCAAAGTAGAATGGAGACCCCTCAAGAATTTAAAAATAGAGCCCGGCTGGGCATGGCTCAGCGGTTGAGCATAAACCTAGGATCCAGGCAATTGGGGTTCAGTTCCCAGTCAGGGCACATGCCCGGGTTGTGGGCTTGATCCCCGGTCAGGGGCATGCAGGAGGCAGCTGATCAGTGACTCATCATTGATGTTTCTCTCTCTCTCTCTCCCTCTCCTTTCCTCTCTCTGAAATCAATAAAGATATATTTAATAAAAAGAATTTAAAAATAGAAATACCATATGATCCAGCAATCCCACTTCTGGGTATTTATCCAGAGGAAATGAAATTATTATCTCAAAGAGATATTTGTACTCCCATGTTCATTGCAGCATTAATTACAATAGCCAAGGTATGGAAATAACATAGTTTCCATTATGTGGTCTGTATATACAGTGGAATATTCTTCAATCTAGAAAAAGGAAGTCCTGCCATTTGCAATAACATGGTTGAGCGTGGAGGGGCATTATGCTTAGTGAAATGAGCCAGACATTAAAAGACAAATATTGCATGATATCGCTTATACGTGAAATCTTAAAAAAGAAGTCAAACCTGTAGAAACAGTAAAATGGTTGTCAGGGGATGGGGAGTGGGAGAAGTGTGGAGCGATATAAAAGGGTATAAATTTTCAGTTGATTAGGATCTGAGGATATAATGTATCACATGGTTACTGTAGTTGATAATATGGTTTTGTATAATTGAAACTTGATCAGAGAGTAAAACTTGTGTTCTCCCAAAAACACACACAGAAAGTTAATATCTGAGGGGGTGGGTGTGTTAATTAACTCCAGTGTGGGAATCCTTTCATAATGTGTAGTTATATCAGATCATATTATATGCTTTAATATATTACAATTTTACTTGTCAAGAATACCTCAGTAAAGCTGGGGGGAAAACACACATGTAAATAAAAAAATTAGATACTGACCAGAGGAAACAGTTGAGTAAAGAGTTGATAGTGCAAGTAGCCCCTGTTGACTAGAAGTGTTGCTGCCTTTGTCGCTGTATTGGTGATTCTGTTCTGTGTTCCACCCTTAGGTGTTTAGAGACCATCTTTGAGGAACCTAAGGAACGAAATGGTATGCTAATCTCAATCAGCCAACAGAAGAGGAAGCGAGTTCTAGAATTTCAGGATTTTACAGTCCCACGAAAGAGGAGAGCTCGTGGAAAGGTCAAGGTGGCCGGCAGCTTCACCAGAGCCCAGAAGGCAGCACTGCAGAGTCGAGAGCTGGACGCCCTTTTGATACAGAAACTAATGGAACTGGAGACCTTCTTTGCTAAGGAAGAGGAACAGGAGCCATCATCTGGTTGTTGAGAAGCAATTTGGTTTGGGAGTCTCAATATTAGGTTTTCCAGGCCTCCTCAGAAGAGGTTGCCCAATTCTGCCCAATGCCCAAACCACTCAAAATGCAGGCCATGGATTTTTACTTGTTTCAAGGTGCAACCTTTTTAGAAACTGGTGAAGGAGGGTCCTCTGTTTCTACTGCTGAGTATAGAACCTCAGGAATGCTCCCTTTCTCCTGGAAGTGGTCCCGAATGACATCGGTCCTCCTCCCACACTCTGCCATCCACAGGAGGAAGACGGCATACCTTCAGTAACACTATGATTCCAAGGACTCACAGCATTTGCACGTCCATGTGAAAGTTCCACATTGTTTACGGTGGTGCTAGACCAAGATTATTTAGAGACGTTGCCTAGAGAGGGTACCTGGCGTCCTGTCCTGCGTGGTCTCACCGGCTCATTTCAGTAGTTGAGGAAAGATGAGCCTGTGGTGTTTTCTAATCCTTTGAGTCTGCCTGCCCAGAACCTGGGGTGTGTGTGTGTGTGTGTGTGTGTGTGTGTGTGTGTGTCTTTCCCCCATCATTCTTTTCTCCCTTCTGTGACTGTGGGTCACTAGTGCCAGAGGAGCCCATCCAGGCCCCGTTCGAAGTAAGTTGCACTTTTTAATGTTGTGGTGTTATTTTTATTTGTTTTATTTCCTTTTTTTTTTTTAATTGCTGCATGTTTGGAGCCTTTAAATGTGATTTTAAAACAATTTTTTTAAGACATTGAGAAAGATAATACGTGTCTTCAGAATAGATGGTAGACATTTGACCCAGTGCATGGTATGGGACAATGGAGAGACATTTTTCCATTCACATGTTTCAAGCAATCCCTTCCCCCTCTCCCTCTAGTGTAATTCATTAGAGGGAGCACTTTTTTCATCTGGGTTCTCATTCTTGCCCACTAAGTAGATATATTAATTTTAATGATGGAAGAGCAGGTTTCTCTCCCAGTCATTTAAAAAGTGTGAAGGCTGGGTGTGGTCTTTTATTGGGTTTTATCTGAAGTGTTGGTCTGTAACAGAGTTGGGTACAATAGCTTGGGCAGTGATAAAGTGACCCAAAGTGTTTGCAGCTGTCAGAGCAACCAGCTCTGAGAGTGGGGAGAGGCATTGCACCACGGTTCAAACTCTGATGGGTTCTTGTAGTGGGATCTCGGAATTCCACAGCCAGCCCTCTCTGAAGACACCTCATTGTACTCTGGGCTCCAGTGTCAAACCTACTGGAAATGCAGAATGCCAGAGTTTGTTGGTCTTCTTTTGTGCCCACAGGAGTCTGAGGGCAGAAGGATGCTGTGTGGGTTAGCAGGCCTAGCTAGAGGTTTCATTCCTTTCCCACTAACCTGTGTGCCTCTCCCTGCGTCCCCTGCCCTCCTTTTCCCATGTGTTTTTTTTCTTTTTTTTTTCTTTCTCTCTTTCAAAACAAGAGTTCAGAGAATTAACATTCCGTGGCTGGTGAATGGGATACTAGACCCAGCCTCAGGACACTGGTCAACTCTTCCCATCCTCCTAGGAGCCACTGCTGGGAAGCATCGGCCAATGGGAACTGTCCAAGCTCCAGAGACACTTGCAAGTCAGTCTGTTAAAGGAGAGTGTGTGGTGCTGCCCTGGAATGTGTCTCCTAGGTTTTTT